TGTCGACACGGGCAGTAACCGGGAATATGAGAGACATGATCGATAACGCGTAGACCTGAGAAGACTGCACTCGGTAGACTTGAGCTCGACACAAGCTGACTGTAAGAGCCGGTGAATGAGGCCATGAGTGTGATTGATGCGTTTACGGTGCCCGCTAAAAGTTTGAGTGTACCTGTGTAGATGAGATTTCCAGGAACACCGAAGAGGTACTAATATGAACCAATACAAACCAATCGGCACCGTATTACAAAGGTACTCCGTACAAAACAGTATTACAGTATTACTACACCTGCCGTCGCGCCTCGATCTATGTACGACATAACATCAACGAGATTGATATTCCCCCTCCCGTAGCAACAACCCTTCTAGATTAAAATATCACGGAGAAAACTGGTTTAATCCCTGAGCTCGTCTGCTATCCTCGGTTTTATCCTCGAATAACTCCGAAGGAAGTTGTTGAACGGATGGGATGGGTGGGCGATCGCCCTTACTTACTGTGTCATACTGCGCCGACTGGTCCGCCTCTCTTGAGTCAGTCCAGCGCCCAGACGCAGAGGATCGTTTTCGGGAAGTCTTCGCACTGGTAACGGAGAAGCCAGGATTAAATTCCATCGATGTACTTTTTGCTCGACCGAAACAGTTGGCGAGCTCGAACTGCATGCAATAACAGTGCTCCTGCACTCGCATACTAGAGAATCAAATACGGGGGCATTTTGAGGCGCTGTGTGCCGAGTACCCATCTCGCGGTCACCACAGTTTTATCATCCGTCTACTCTCGTCTCTCACACCCGTACATTACTCTATGTTAGTATGTGGTGGCAGGAGCATCTCCCGCTCGGGTGCTTGCTTGGCAACATCTCGCATGCGTGGCCCTGGTGTGATGAGGATCGCAGCACGCTGCACCACCTGCGTAACATGGTTTCGAACTTTCGATCATTGGTTGATGATGCCTTCGCTGCACCGGAGACCGAAAGCACCTTTGCACTTGTACGCGAGGACGCAGTACAATTGATCCCCAGAGGCATGTGTCATTTGCAATGGATCTTGATGGCGGAAATACACGTTGGTGTGGATCATCAGTGGTTCATCGCTCTTTCTTTCATCGCAAAGTCTCAGGCGATAAAAAGAAGAAAAAATAGGGGCGCCGCGAGGGAAGGGAAGGTACAATCAAGAGTGTTGGGCCAAGGACAGGAGAGATCAATTCGCGGAGATGGTGGTAGATACTCCAAGATGCTTGGTGTTGGGCTTCGCCTTCCCTGGTGATGCCTACACCTCCTACAAAGTACAATTGTACTTTGTAGAATCTCCCGCGCACCGAGCAAGAGATGAACAAATCGAGAATCGAGAGCCAACAATTTGAACAATCCAAGCCATGCCCCACCAACAATCGACCATCATTCGGCACCACCTCACTCAGGCGGGCGTCGCTGTAATGGCACGCCTTGAATGGGGGAACAAAAGGCGGTCTCCTCATCTCGACCTGCATGAGCATTGCCATCGAATGCTACTTTTCAGCGGAGAAGAGCATACGAGGCATGTTTCCGAATTACAGGCCTGCGCCCATTTTCCCTGCCCGGCTATCAATCACACACCGGCTCAGGGAGCATCTCCTCCAAGCTCACGGGCCGATCTGGGTTCTCGGCACCGACGTTGTTGGTCTTTACTTTTTCTGCCAACTATTCTTCTGCGGTCGCTTTTAGCTTCGAGACTCCCCCTCCGATCTATCCATTCTACGCCAAGTCTTGTGGCGTTGGCCGCCTTCATTGTCATCTGCCTCATGGCTGCAATTTACGCATGGGGTGCCCACCATGTTGGTGAGCAAACAAGGAGGACCCAAGTCGTGCGGAATGTCAAGAATACATCACTTTCTTTTCACACGAACGAGCTGGAGCCTTGAAGAAGTGGCGTTTCCAGAGCACCCCAAGTCGGCGCCGCCCAAACGGAAGGAAACTTGCCCAAGTTTTCATCGAACGATCGACGAGGATGTCTCCCCTCTCTTCTTTTTTTTCCCCGGTTCCCGAACCACGGACACGGTAAGGCGAACGGACTCTGATGATTCACAGCATTTTCGCTCTCTCACCTACATTGGTGTGGTTGAGACTGCCATCTGTACAAAGTACCTCAGATCAATGTACTGAGTAGATTGGTCTCTACTCTGTGCTTCGGGGCATCCTGTCCGAAAGCTAGTCCTCGCTTCACCATGGTATTCTTTTCGCCATGTGGTGAGAATACAGTTGAGAGGTCCAAAGGAACCCGAAGATTGTAAGCGCAGTCTCCGGGTTCTATTGAAACGCACACAAAACCCCTCAAAATGTCTGGCCTTTGCTTGTTATCTATTGTCAAGCCAATACTGCGTGGTACTCGGACAGCCTCAAAGACACTCGAGGCACACAACCACGCCCACCGCCTACACGGATTCAAAGGGGGTGATGCCTGCATCTGAGGTCCCTCCGGAAGCCCCAGTTATCTCAACAGTTGTGCTGGGCCTCATCGCCGACAATGGCTCTTCGTCTAGAACACCATTCGCTCCCGTGCCCCCTACAACCTCAATCTCCGCGGCTACGGAGGGGCCCTGCTAATCCCACAAAAATACAGCGTTGGTGGCGAGCTGCTACTGGATATGAATCCCACTCCCCTTGCCCCCTCTTTTCCCAAATCGGCCCCGTTGTTGGGGGCCGACCCATCCCCAACCGAGCTCGACCGCTGAGTCGAGCACTTGAATCCCTGAATAAAACGGTAGCCTCGGGGCCAGTTTGAAAGTGCGATGTGACAGAATACCTGCTAATGACAGAGAAGTCTCTCTGGGTGTTTGTTATGTATCTCTTTGTATCCTGGGGAAAGAGTCGCGAACAATCATAACTCGCCCTTCACTATGTCAACTCCCCCGCCATCGCCCGCTCCCCCTTTCTCATTCCGAGCCCGTTCGTCCTTTCTTTTCGTGTTCTTATTGGAACTATCAGTCTAAGAAAGGAGGCTCGTTGTAGCTGGTTGCTTTTTTTCCCCTGTTCGCCCAATCTTTCTCGGCTTTTTCCTCGTTACGCAGCCTCCCTCCACACGTGTAAACCGATGTGAGGGCTACAATGTATGGCCCCGTCACAATAGATCCGAGTGGTACCAGGTCTTCCGTCTGATTCGATCTTGGAACGCTTCTATCATTTTCTTCGGGTGCGTGTTTCAAACTTCGCACATGAATTTTCCGAGAAGTGAGCAAAGATCCACCAGAATGGCTTTACAATTGAATTGTATTATCTGTTCGCCCCGCCCTGGCCTCTGTCCCATCCCACCCTCCCTTCTCCATCATGCCCCCCTCTCCTTTTTTCCATTTACCAAATTCTAACGAGAGGAAGAAAGGGATGGTCAGAACGAGGAAAGAGTACTCGTGGAGAGATTAACTCCTAAGCAGAGCAAAGCAACACATTCGTACTGCAGTGACACGACGTCTGAACCACACTTCAGCCCTACGGAACGTTACTCAATCCCGTCGTCGCACAGCCAGGCCCAGCCCGCTTCCACTAACCAAGTACGGTTCGGAAAGGGGGATTATCAACGGATCAGTCAAGTTTGGTGTGGATCCGGCCACCAAGGGACGTTAAGTTGGAAAAGTTTAGATGTGATCTTGGCCAACTGCTTATACCTCACTTGATGTCAAATCTTCACGTTTCTGCGCTGTCATCCGATGGACAGTTGTCGTCGCTGAGTTGTACTCCTGCACTTTTACCCCCTACCTTCGTGTTTTATTTTCGTCTTCTTCTCTTCCTATCACATTACACCCCCCCACCTAAAAGGGGGGGGGAATTGGCCGAGTGGGGATAGTAGGTAAAGTGGTGGTGGGTGGGTGGATGGATGGGTGGGTGAGAGATCAGAGAGTTGACAGTTTCACACCCACCCCACCTTCACTCACTGACCACCTCTATTCGACGGTTTGCGATTCGACGATTACCTTTTTTTTCGGTGAACTCTTCGATGAAGGAATGCTAGGCAGCCAACGGGCGCCACGCTGCCGAATCGATGTCCAATAAGCGAGTTGTGAAAGCTATATGCAGGGTGTCGTGCATTTGCCAGAGCTCCCCCTCCATCGGAAACGGCACTTCAAAAGCAGGGCGAGTTTTGAGAGGCCCAGGGATGGAGAAATATGTCGAAGCTTCTACGAAGTACACGAAATCTAGTACGTCGCTGTACTCTGGATTGCCCGTTACGTGTAATCCCGGCCTGGCCTCCCGGAGAGTCGGGCCTCAGCGAGTAGGTTACACGGATACTACACTTCTTGCGCTCCTGTTGCTCTCTTCATCTCCTCTCTCCAAGAGCAAGCCTCGGATCGAGCTACCAGAACTTGCCAGATGGGAGAAACCAATTTTGGTATGTGAACGCGGCACAGTCTCATCGGCTGCCATTCAAGAGGGTTGATCACATCAGATAGATGCCTCGTTTCTGGATCTTTTGTTCCTTCCTTCTACACTCTTCGCTCCCTTGCGTCTACGCTTTAGCGAATGCTATCGCGCGCCGCGTGCGCGGAGGGTGAACAACAGCCATGTCCGGCGCGTAGAAGAAGGACGGACATTGACGGATTTAATCTTGGCGATGCCAGGAAGCGAGGGTGGGCAGATAATGACGCTAGGGGGTGTTAAAGGATGCATTCTTTCTGTCCCTGGCTTAAGCGCGCGGAATTGGATTAGTTTCTACCTTCCGTTTGCTCGGCATTAAGTCTTGATCTAATATTAGCCTTCTCAGTTGGCCCCCAGATATTTTACATTCCAATTTTGATCCTTTTTGTCTATCTTTATAATATTGATTGGGATGGAGCAATTGGCGGTGAAGGCAATGGGGTAAAGGGCTTTCAGCGGTGACCTCGAAAGCGTAGCTTAAACATACCGCGCCAAAGTCGTACAAATTCCATCAACATCTCGCCTCGACCTCAGCTCATAATGTGACTGGACACAACTGCACCGCAGGGGTCATGGCTTCACCACATCACCCCATCCTGCATGTTCCACAACGCTCCCTTAAACCTCAGACTGGAACGCCTCTGAGTCATTGACACGCCAGATGGCATCCGACATCTTGACAACCTGACTCATCTCCCCAACATCATGCACCCTAACGATATCCGCGCCCCCTTGCACAGCCGCCGCGACAGTGGCGGCCGTGCCCCAGATGCGTTCGCGGGGTTCCGTGACGCCCGTGATTTTCCCGACGAACCCCTTGCGGCTGGAGCCGACGAGCCACGGCAGCCCCTCGAGGCCCGGCCAGCGCCGCAGGTCGTCGAGGCGGCGCAGGATCTCGAGGTTCTGCTCGGTGTCTTTCGCGAAGCCGATGCCGGGGTCGAGCATGATGCGCCAGCGGCGGACTCCGGCTTCCTGGGCGGCTTCGACTCTTGCGAGGAGTTCGGCGGCGATGGTGGGGATTAGGCCGGCGGGGGAGTAGTCTGTAAGGCGGGACATGCTCTGCGGGGTTCCGCGCATGTGCATGAGGCAGACTGTCTTTCCTAGGCGGGCCATGGTGGGGAACATGGCGTCGTCTAGGAGTCCCGCGGACACGTCGTTGATGATGTCCGCGCCGGCCGCGACGGCCTGCTCGGCTACCTCGGCGCGGTAGGTGTCGACGCTGATGGTCATGTGTGCGGTGGCGGGGAACTTGCGAATGAGGCGGATGACGGGGAGCACGCGGCCGAGCTCCTCCTCGAGGGAGACCTCGGGAGTCCCTGGGGACGTGGACTGACCGCCGACGTCGATCATAGTGGCGCCGGTGCGGGCGTGGTGCAGGAGGGATTCGACGAGGTTCTCGGGCGAGTTGATGCCGCCGTCGGAGAAGGAATCGGGGGTGATGTTGAGGATGGACATGACGTGGGTTGGGCGGTCGGGTTTGAAGGAGAGGATGGGTGGGAGGTGGGGGGAGAGGGGTGTCAGTGGGGACAGGGGCGGGTTGGAGGGGGGCAGGTCGTTGAGATAGTCTTGGGTGACTTTCCAGGGCCGGGCGTGGTCTATGGGTTGGCCGGGGATGAGCCTAGTTTGGGGTGTTGGTTATAAGTTGAATATAGATATCTAGATATATATAAATAGATCTATGAGAGGCAGAGGACACTCACTCTGAGAGGGGTCGGAGGACGAACTCGCGCTCGAGGATGCCGGCGTGAGGGATCCAGAGGCGTTCATGTTGGATCTTTTGGTTGTCGTAGAGGAGGATGTCTAGGTCGATAGCACGGGGACCTTTTTCGACTTTCTTTTCGCGGCCGAGATGCTTTTCTATGGCCTGGAGTTCATCGAGCAGAGCCAGAGGCTCAAGATCCGTCTCGACCTTTTATTATTGGTTAAGTTAGGTCCCGAGATCACAACGCGGGAGACACGAAAAGTAGGATAAGTTGAGACAGTCCTCACCTCACAGGCACCGTTGATAAACTTGTCCTGATCGAGCACATACATGGGATCCGTCTCCCACAAGCTACTCGTTCTCGTCACGCGAAGCCCCCGACGCTCCATCTCCCTACACGCCTCCTCGATCATGGCGACCCTATCTCCGACATTACTTCCCAGGGCGATGTACGCCTTCTTTTTCCTGTCGTCTGGCTGTTTGTGGGATCCGCAGCCGCCGCAGCAAGTGGAGTGGCAGCGGCGCGTCACGGCGCGGGGCGATGAGGTGAGCCGGAGCGCGCGATTCGCTTGCGACGCCGCGCAGATGGGCCGGGGATGGTGAGATTGGCGAGATGAGAGGGTGCTGAGGAGTGAGCGGGATGAGGGCGAGATGAAGCGGGTGAGCGGCGCTCGTTTGAGGGTGAGGGTGAGAGTTGATGGTCTCATGATGAAAAGCTGGGCTTCTCAGCCGTGGTTGGGGCCTGGCGGCCGAGAAGAATTCGGCTAGACGTGAGGAAGTTAGAGAGTCTATGGTTTCATTTGCTGTAAGAGCTGTTTACTTCAATTCCGAGAATTGCCCAACGCCAATTGTAAGCTCTTCACTTGGTGTTGCTAGAGACAATTGCTAGTCTTGATGACATCAATGCTTCAACGTTGCTGATTTTTTTTTTCTTCTTTCCGAAAGAAGACAAGATCAGATCAAGTTGCTAATTTCCTAAATACACGGGTGGTGTGTTAATAGCTTGGCGAGACACTTGTCCAGAAATAATGCCAGAAGGGACGAAAAAGAAAACTCGAAAATAATAAAGATAAGAATGGGCGTATAAAGAACCCCAGAGGTAGAAAAAGGATGGGTATAGTACGAGGTACCCGGAAGGAAATGTATACTCGGCGATGTCCACAAGGCTGCTCAATACTTGTCCATCGTTTCCTCCTAGACTGCCTGGAGATGATCAGCTCAATCACATGTCGTAATGTTCGAGAGTACAAAGTACTGATTTTCCGATTATTAGCCTTTCAGCCAAGCCTGCTCCAGACTGCTGGTTGTACCTAAGCATACTTCGTACGTTACTTACATCGGAGTCAGTCCTCAGATTCTGATCTCCTCTCCTCTCCTCTCCTCTCCTCTCCTCTTCTCGTGGGACGTTGTGATTATCTCGATCAACCTAGAACCGCTAGGACGGGGCAGACGCGAGAGATGTGTCACGCTCAAGATTTTCCCTTGCAGCACGACAACTTCTACCTTCGCAACGCTGGGAACGACGCCGCGCATTCTCTAGTCGTGATGATCAACCGACCTGTAACAGGTAGCAGTCGGAAGGGTAGCTGAAGCGCATAGGCCAGACTAATCTTGCACTCTTGGGGAATGTGGTATTTATTGTTACAAAACGGCCAGATGATGACCCGCGGGAAGCCGGCCGCGCGATGATTCCAGTTCGCCGAGGTCATTGACCGACTCCGACATCGTCGCTTTAGGGAGGGAACACGATGTGCGGAAGGGGGCCTCTATGTCCTTGGTAGCTTCAGAGGAAATTGTACAAGATATAATCGCACCATGACATCACCCTCTGCCTATGAATCCAAAGCAGTCTGTAGTGTCAGGCTCAACCCCCTGTGGCCTGCGGATGATTTTTGACGTACTTTTCATTCTCTACGATATCTTTCCCTTCAAAATATTGAACACGAATATCGGGAGACAAATTTCCGGATTCCGGTGCCTCCGGTCAACTCTTGGGCGGCAGACAGACACCTCCTACGAAATAGTAATCGTGTTCGTGTCTAATCTTGTGATAATCTTAGGTGCACGGGCGGTGTGGCAATAACTTGGCGAGGGCACAACTAAAGGTCCAAGTTTGCAGATTTGTGCTTCCAGAAATGATTTCAGAGCAAAACCGACTCGTGGTCTGAGCAAATTGAGGGAACGGGAGGAAAGGAGGGTAAAGAGAGAATATCAGGACCAAATTCATCAAAAAGTCGGCTGGGGTGATTATCACTGAGTATCTACTTCATCATCTCTCTCGATCTTGGGAAGCTCGGCTGCGAGATGCGGGGATGTGAGGGGTTGGATGCGGAGAAGAGAGTCGAGACTGGACAATGGAAGTGAAGACACGAGGCTGCAGGCGGCATAGGGCTCCTTCATTCTGTCCAGCCAGCAACAAAATCTACCGCTCTCGGGCTGGTGTACGCACACTAGTGTTCAAATAGTGCAGCACCGCTGAGAATCCATCTCCCGTTCCTGCCCTCTCTCTTGCCGCATGCCGAAGACGCCAGCTTTCACAGTCCAGCTTTTACTTCGCAACAGCCCTGCCAGCCAGACTCGGGACCTCTGCGCAATTTCAATTGTTCCTCGGCATCTTTTCGCACCTCCAAGTTCCCCGGATTTCCCGTTGCCGTCGTCTGACCCTCCCACGCGCTAATCCTAGAAGGGCTAAAACGCACTAGGGGGCACGAATCAAAATCAGACTAGGCTGGACGCAATTGAGAGCGTGCCCCATCGCTGGCACAGATGCCTCGGCTTTTTTGCCATGAGACTGCAAGCCCAGACCCTGGTCCCTTGACTCTTTGGCTTCTCTTGTGCGCAGTGGAGTTTGGATGTGCTAAAACCCGATCACTAGGGGGGTCACTCAGGTGCTGCTTTTGCCGCTAACTGCATCCGCGGCGATAGGGAGAGTGGGAACTTCTGGGAAGGAGCCACCTTGGACTGTCGGCCGAGCACATGTAAAACATCGCGCCTCCCCTCGCCGACTTCGCTTTTTTTTTCTCTTGATCTTGAGCTTCAATCCATCCTCTCTCCTCTCATCACTCCTCCTATTTCTTGTGAATCTTCCTTGCGAATTATCTACGATTTCCTCTTCTTCTCCCTTTTTATCCTCTCTCCCTGCCCTTCAGTGTTAAATTATCATTTCGGAGTTATCCACCCATCTCGCCCCTCGTCTCCTCTTCCCCTAGGCACCTCCCAAACCAAACCGTCACAATGGCCTCTCCTCGTACGTGATACCAAATCCTCCCGGGCTTCAGTGTTCGAAAGCACCCCTTTGCATTATCGTTCTAGTGCTAACATGGCCTCGTGCCCCCCTTGCAGAGCAGATCCGCACTCCCGCCACCGAGCTCTTCGGTATCAAGCACCCCGTGCTCCTTGCCGGCATGAACGTCGCTGCCGGTCCCCGTCTCGCCGCCGCCGTCACCAACGCCGGAGGTCTCGGTGTCATCGGTGGTGTCGGCTACACCCCCAACATGCTTCGCGAGCAGATTGCCGAGCTCAAGGAGCACCTCAACGACAAGAACGCCCCCTTCGGTGTCGATCTCCTTCTCCCCCAGGTCGGTGGCAATGCCCGCAAGACCAAGTACGTATTTATGATATTTCCTTCCCTTCAGTTTCTAGAGAGGCCGATTTGCTAACACTCTTTTGTCTCTTCCAGCCGTGACTACACGAACGGCAAGCTCGACGAGCTCGTTGACATCATCATCGAGTCCGGCGCCAAGCTCTTCGTCTCCGCCGTCGGCGTTCCCCCCCGCTCCGTCGTCGACCGTCTCCACAAGGCCGGTGTCGTCTACATGAACATGATCGGCCACCCCAAGCACGTCAAGAAGTGCCTCGAGCTCGGCGTCGACATCATCTGCGCCCAGGGCGGCGAGGGCGGCGGCCACACCGGTGACATCCCCACCACCGTGCTCATCCCCGCCGTCGTCGAACTCGTCAAGGGCAAGACCTCCCCCCTCACCGGCAAGCCCGTCCAGGTCATCGCCGCCGGCGGTATCCACAACGGCCAGCTCCTCGCCGCCTCCCTCATGATGGGCGCCTCCGCCGTCTGGGTCGGCACCCGCTTCATCCTCACCGATGAGGCCGGCGCCCCCAAGGCCCACAAGGAGGCCGTCCGCACCGCCGGCTTCGACGACAACATCCGCACCATCATCTTCACCGGTCGCCCCATGCGCGTCCGCAACAACGCCTACATCAACGAGTGGGAGACCGAGCGCCAGAACGAGATCCGCGAGCTCACCTCCAAGGGTATCGTCCCCTTCGAGCACGACATCGATAGGCTTTCCTCGGGCAAGGCCGCCATCCCCAAGAGCATCACCGAGATCCTCAACAAGTCCGGCGAGGACTCCGAGATCGATGACGTCATCGACGAGTTCAGGCCCTACCTCATGGGCAAGGCCGCTGCTGTTGTGAACGAGAACAAGTCTGCCAAGGCTGTCGTTGATGAGTTCGTCAACGATGCTGCTGCCTGGATCAGGAGCGGCAACAAGATGCTTGCCAAGCTGTAAATGCATTTTTTCTTTTTGTTTTAACTTTTTAACTACCCTTTCCTTTTTGTTCATGGTTGGGGGGAGAAGTCATTAGGGCGAGGCATGTTTTTTTCAGGATAACAGGGAAAGCACCTCGTTTTTGCTCTTTCTTTCGAACTAGTGTGTATAAACTGATGTGGGCTCTTGTTGGCTCTTGTTACGATCACGAGATTTGGGGCGGCGACGGGATGGAGAGAGGACACATCCTGCCATAGACATTGGGAATGCTCCGAGGTCTGGTCGTCGTTGTATATATGCACATTCCTAAAAACAAATAAAGAAATCAATAATTCCAACCAAAATTGTGGCATCGTAGACTTAATTGACTTTTGATGTGGATATTTATTCGCCGTATAAAGTTTGGGGAGGGTCCGCCTCGAAACCCACCTGCCGCCATTCTTCGCCGCCGGAGAAGACTTCCAGGACAGACAAGAAAACTTTGGACACGTCGACTAGGAGGCCCTTTGGGTTCTCTACTGAATTCGTATATAATTACAGCTACTTCAAGTTGTGTAGTAGGCAATCAAAAAAGGCCGCGGGCAATCTCTCAGCAGCCACGATAACACCAACCTCTTCCACGAAGACCTGGACCTCGAAGGGCCAAAACGAGAGGGATCATACTTTGTTATATATAGAATCAATTCTTTGCATCTATTCGTAGAGACTAAAAAGGAAAATACTATGTCCATGCATGAGCCGTGAAACCCCGTGGCTTTGCCTTTTGTTTTCTTTAATGCCCACGTTTAAGATCCTCATAAGCTGCTGTCTCCTTTTTCTGCCTCCCGCAAGCCGTAAACCCATCCTGCAGGGTAAATCAAATTCTCCTAACCGTAGAAGATGCCTGTAGCCTCGGAGCCGGTCGCTGAGGGGACAGGGAGGAAGTAGGTGCCTGAGTCGTCGTGGCAATGGCATCGCTCCCTTCTCAATGACGGCGCAAAGGTGGCCGGCAAGGCAAGGAAGCGCCCATTCCCGTTCAAAAAGAATCCAAGAAGACAAAAAAAAAAAAAAAAAGACATGAACCAACGACTCAAGACATTACAGTTCCCAGAGAGAGCTTCAACAAGAAAAAAAAAAAGAAAGAAGGAAAATCCATCTCCCGCATCAAACTCCCTCCTCAGTTCCCAAGATAAGCTCTAATAGCACCCTGCAACCGCGTAGCACCTTCTCCAAGCGCGGCCGTAAGATTGTCGATGTCATCAGCCGCCGTGATACCAAACTTGCGGACAAAGTCCTTGGCCGCGGACTCGAGGTCGCCGTAGTCCTCCTGGGGCTCGGCCTCAGGGCGGCCAAAATAGGCGTTGGACGAGATGGCGGTGGCACCCTCGAAGCCTTGGAGGCGAGTCTTGGCTTCAGCCTGCATGGTGGGGTCGTAGGCACCCTTGCCGAAGAATTCGTCGGAGGAGATGCCCTTCTGGTTGCCAAACTTCTTGCGGGCGTAGTCAGGTTCGTCATCTGCAGGGGGGAAATAGTTAGCAAAAGGCCTGAAGCATCGTTCTTAGTGTCAAAATGAATTGCACATACCAGTGGCCGCCGACTTGATGGGTCCCACAGAGCCGAAGCCACCCATAGCCTTCTTTGGTGCAGCGGAGGCAGCTTTGCCGGCACCGACCTGTCCGAAACCGAGTCTCGCAACGCCCATGCCTAATCGCTCCACCTCGGCGCTAGACTTGGCCGGAGCGGCAGTGGCACCGAATCCACCCCTGTTGGGACTCACGGGCGTGGGAGACAACACATTCGAAGCCTCAGTCTTGGCAGCCTTGCCGGTATCAACCTCAGCCTCAGCATCAGGATCGTAACCGAGCTTCTCGATGCGCTCAGCCTCCTCCTTCGCCCGCTTCTCGGCCTCGTCGAAGTCGATGATGTCGCCAGTGAGCTTCTTCGCGCCGAGCTTGGTCGTAACCTTCTTGGCGCCGAGGATGTTGGCCTTCTTGGGGCCAGCACCGGCAGTCTTGCGGAGTGCAGCAGAGTGTGTTATCCTGCTGGCAGCAGGCTTGGTCTCGGAGGGCTTGGCGAGGCCAGAAGATGATCGCGACGAGTCCTTGCCATTGGAACCGACGGAAAGCGGGGAAGCGGTACGGCCGATTACGGGAGGGGTAGCGGTTCGAGAGATTGGCGGCGTCGGGCGCTTGATGGCGGGCTTGTCCCAAGAAGAGAAAAAGTCGTCCTCAGGTTCGCCTGCGGGGGTGGAACTGCCTTGGGTGTCGCCGTCGGTGATTACAACTTCGTTAGGATATCTGTTCAGTGAAAGGGGTTGGTTAGCATATCACACGAAGGATTTAGAACCAGAAAAGCGACATACTCCGCCGCATCCCTGGCAGCCCGCCTCTTGAGCTCGTCCTTGTATTTGGAAGCGACGTTGGACCCGTACTTGGTCTTAGGGTCCTTGCTCTTGAGCGCCGCCGTACCTCCGTTCTGCTGGAAGAATTTGGTGGCTGACTCATTGCCGCCAACTTTCATAAGGCGTAGTTGATCCCATTGCCATTCTAAAGGAAAGAAGTCCAATTAGCTTTGGCTCTAGTGCGGAATATTTTCTACCTGGATGGACGGGAACTCGAAGCGCATACGGTCGAGGTTGGTCGATCGAACGAAGGAAATGTGAACACCAAGGTTTCGGTGGTTCGCGGAGCAGTCAAGACACAGGTAGATGCCAAAAGGGACCGAGGTCCACGTTGGGTTGTTCTGGCCACAATCGAAGCAAACCTGCACACGACGAAAACCATCAGCGACGAACGCACGCCTGGTGAGAGGAGGGCAAAGGACAAAGCGCTACGCACCTTATTCGCAGGCTTCGACTTCAACTTTTCGAATATCTTGATCGACTCTTGCTTCGACGCCAGGGCAGCCATGGTTGCGATACCGGGGAGGGGCGAACGATAAAGGGGAAATTGAATCGAACGGAGAAAACAATCGCGAGGCGCAAAGGGAGTGGCGAAAAGCGGCTCTGCAGTAAAATCCTGGACAATAGCCAGGCGATTAGAAGTGAATAGAAAAAAGTAAGGACCGGAGGTTGGCCGCGAGAGAGACAGAGGAGGAATGCGATTATCGTAAAAGGTGACCAAATTCAGGAGATGCAACGATGCTGGGTATAAACGATCAACGGAGAAGGTGAAGTGGCACGAAGATCTGTGCTATGCCAAATCGGGAAATCCTGTCCTGAATTCTGCCGAAGGCGGTGAAGACGCCGACCAGTCTCAGTTCACTTTTGACCGGGGAAGGAGCAGCCTCAGCTCATCTCACATCTTGGTCTCATCAATATCATTATCACCATCACGACTGGCTCTCTTCATCGATATCCCGGGGTTTATTTTGTGGCTGCTCATTTGCTGTGATATAGGAGCATTCATGCGCCACTAATAACCGCTGAAGCCGCATTATGGCCTTGCCCTTCCTACGACCTCAAAGATGAAGCTTGCAACACTCCCCGTTGCGGTTCGCCACGTGCCTATCCTCGCAAATCCAGCGTCGCTCAGCGCTTTGTTGCCCCGGTACTATGTAACGCAGACGAACCCGAACAAGTCAACACCACCAACCTCGAAGAGACGGGCTGTGACGCCGTTCAACGACGATGGACGTGTGAATTGGGCCGATTTATCTGCGGGCGAAAAGGCTGCGAGAGCCACTCAACAGACCTTCAACTTTGGGTTTATTCTTGCCGGACTCGGCCTAACAGTATGCTGTTCTTATTTTATGGTCACAGACCTATTCAGTTTGTAGCCCCGGGTTCTCTCGCTAACGTGGGCCTCGCAGGGTGCCGTGGTCTATCTCTTGTTCACTGAGGTGTTCTCCCCAGATAGCAGGGTTGCAAACTTTAGCCGTGCGGTGGACCTAATCAAGAAGGACCCAGCATGCCAGGCAGCCCTTGGTGATCCAAAGAAGATCCTGGCTCATGGCGAAGAAACCTACAACCGATGGAAGCGGTCTCGACCCATTGCGTATGTCTGGCACTTAAATCATCGGTAGAACTTGAGCGGCAATGGCTAACACGACGGGTCACCTAGTTCAACGATCGCACAAGACAGATATGGTGTCGAGCACCTAAAGATGCACTTTTATGTGAGTGCATGCTTGCTTTTCTCATCCCAATGACTTGACGTCGACGAGACCAGGCTAACCCGCCAGTAGCTTGAAGGGCCGCTGAACCAGGGTGTTGCGCACCTTCATATGACGCGGCATCCTAAGCAAGGCGATGGCGATTTCGAGTACAGATATCTCTTTGTAGATGTCAAGGGCCACCAGAGGATCTATGTCATAAATAATGAAGAGGAGAAGAACGCCTCTGGCGCACCAGGCAGGAAAACGAGATTCCTGGGGATCAACTGGGGTTGAACGGCCAGTGAGTTCCGAACTATTAGGACGCTGTCGTGATCCCGGACTGGTCTTGAATGTATCTTAAATGTATATAAAAATGCGGCTTGGTGGGAGTGTAAGTTAGGCATAGTGGAAAAATACGATGTATCCGCATCAAGACAAAGAAAATTCGACTATTCATTTCGAACACCTACCCGCTTCGAATACTGCATGGCTAGTGCCTCTTCTCTAACGCTCTTCACGATATCACACCCTAAATCTAAGCCTACAAGCTGTCGTACAGCAAACTAGAGGGTGGCGGTAGCCTCCTCCGGCCACCAACGGATATCTACTCAGGTTGAACCATCTGCGTTGGCAAGTCTTACCTACTTTACCGCGAACTCGACCCTACATCGTCGACGAACCTAATTACTAGATAGTCAGCAGGGCTGGACCAATCCCATCCAGGCTTGTTCGACACCCAACTCCTCCATCTCTAAGCTTCGAGCCTTTGTGTCTTTGGTAACTCTAGCGTACTTCAAGATGTAGGAAGACAGGGAGCCGATGGCCTAGTAACAAATAAGCGGCTGCCTATCTATGCTACGAGGCGAGGCTAGAGGAATCTTGGAATCTTCCTACGAAGTCCTCCTCTACGTCTCGTCCTAAACATGCATACGTGAGATCCCACAAACGACCGGAGGTTCAAGGCTACGCATCTAGTAAGACACACTCGCAGCTACAATAACCACAGTAAAGGCCAGTGGGAGTGGATACCAAAAACACGCGGGGACATTTAATGCTTTCGGCGAGAGAAGACACTGTTGCCGGCCCGAGGTTCGCCTCACCAGGCAGGGGTAAAACGGCCCCCATCCAGCGTCGTATACCCATGCATTCCTGGTCCTTAGCCTCCCCAGGATATAACATCTCTGTAGTCCAAGAGCCTATCAGCCTACGGCTACGGTCAAGGAGTCCTTGCCGACTAGACAGCCCACTAGCGGCCGACTCCGATTACAACCCCCCGCCCCCGAGATCGGGAGCCGAGATTCCACATTTCCTCGGTTTCCAGTCCACTATCGCCGTCCCCGATCCCGGTGAGACAATCCCGTGGATGGCGGACCTCAAATTACCTTCCTTTCTCTAGCCTGCAATCACAAATACCCGAGTCGGCCGCATCTCCCCTTCCTCTTCTTTGACAGGCATCGCGATGTTAAAACATTAGCTCCGGCCTCACCGGCGAGTAGCAATACTTCGTGGGAACGCTTATTCCGCTCTCATCCTCCATCAAAAAGTCCACCCTTGCTCCTACTCTTTCTCCTGTTTCCGCTCCGTACTAAGACGCATCGCTGATCAAAACCGTGGTATCCGGAATTGGGCAGGGAGGAAAAGGAGGCCTTCAGAGCCAAACATAGTAAAAGACCAGCCTTGTGGAGGATTCAATATAGATAACACGCTGGGTGGGAGAGTCCCAACAAATGGCCGCTGCATTCATAAAACAATGGGACAAGTACCCCTCCTCGAAAGATGAACAGCCAGTCGTTCAGCCAGTCGTTTTGCCTGTCCAGCCAGCGTGTTATCTCCTCCGACATACCGTTCGTCGTCTGGTTACGGCGGTCCTCCCCCACCACCCCGTTGCCCCTGCGTCCAATATATTTTCAACACACCGGCACCGGTCCTATCCGTTGGGATGTCAAACAAACTAGACGGTAGGCCGAGGTGGAAATAGGACCGTGATCTTGAAGGTGGTGACCCCCGCCGATGTCTTTTGATCCGCTTGGGAAAAAAAGGCGAAGATAACGCCGGTGTGTTCACGGCGAGGAGCTAAGAGCGGAGATACCAAGGCGATGCATCTGCAGTGTCACGGCGGGAGTGACGAAGTGTGGTGGATGTTGCCCACAAGGATGGCGAGATGCCACCAATCTAGCACCGGCGATACCTCACGTCCTCACCGGCCAAAGCATGTCGGTTCCTAACGTTTCTTTTTCTGTCCTTTTCCTACTCAGGAAAGCAGTTTCCAGGTTTTGAAGTCGAGAGTTACGCCAATGCATTCGAGTGTCACATGTAAATAGCGCCATCGAGTCGACAAGCACGAGAATTCTTTGAAATATTGTATCAACTCGCATGTCAGGGAAGATCATGGATGGCCACATTGTCCCGCCCAATATGAATCACATTGCGTCAAGCATGGCCTAAATGTTCAATGAGCCTCAATTATGCCATATCATGTCTATTGGCGCATACACACTCTTCCACTTTTCCCCCGTCGTGCTTTTTAACGCGCTTATTACTCTCTCTCTCTCATATATAGCACAGCAGGTAATATGAAACCACCTTCTAACCATGTACGCTATCACTTCCAGGCCGGAGAAATTGAGGCTTCCCCGTTCTACCTTCGGATGTCGATATCTACAGAGACGGGACGGGAAACAGAAGCGTAAAAGCCTCGGGGTCAAGGACAATGGGACGACCGGTCAGGGATCGACACGGGGCGAGAGCGGGTAAGAGGAAGCGCTTTCTAGCCCGCGTTTTGAATTTCCCCATATCCCGTCTATACGTAACAGGTAGCTGACGCGGAATGAGGGGAGCGGCGGAAGAGAGAGCAGCACCCCTCGTTGCTGTGGCCCTGCAATAAAGATTCACAACACGGCATCAACTGCGATGGGATTTAGTATTTGCTTCTTTCTTGCTCGTTTCGAAGCCGGAGACGGGAGAGAGTTTATAGAGGTGGATGAAGCACCCATGTCCGGGCCACGCTTGAAAGGATCATCTGTTCTTCGGGAGTAAATTGGGAATATAATTTATTAGAAAGATTTTTGAAGAGTTGGCGAGACGGATCCTCAATACAAGTGCTTGCATCCCTTCTGCCCAGAATCATCCCAAACAATGAGAAGTAAGAGTTGACGATCGAGCTTTCATTCCTTCACCAGATGAAGCATGGAGACTCACTCGAGCGTCGTCATTCTAGTCCCTGATCCCTGATCCCCGATCCCCGTTGGAGTCTTTTGATCCTTCAAACCTATCCTCAACTTTTGGAACCCCGGAAATCCGAGCCGAGATTCTTCAGGGGGGAAATATAATGGATATATACAGAAGAATATACTCAACCTCACCGAGTGGAGCATCCCGCTCTCGGTCAACGCAAGGCACACACACGCACACCCCATCTATATAAATGAATGATGCTATATCTAGCGATGATATCCATCTATAAATCGTCTGCGTATAAATAGGCATGGCTCCATCTTATCCATCAGGCCGACCCAATGTACAAAGTAATTTCGGGAACGAGTAGGCTTACGAAGTACGCTTGCTTGCTTCGTGCCAATATGTTGTAGGCATCTGTCGATACTTGGACATTTGATGGCTCCAACTGGGCTGGATCTTCTTACTTGACCCCCATCTTGTACGACAGGACCCCCTCAGATCCTTCTGCCATCGCCTGCTGGTATGAAGCATGTGTACGTCTGTCTCATTTCCCAAACACGAGCCGGATTGAATAATGTCCGTTTAGCCTCTTGCCCAACGCATCGGTGTGAAATGAAGTACTTGGGTGCGAGAGACAAACCTCGTCGTTACCTCCAACTACGGCATATACGACTGCAGCACTCCGCAGCGGAAGCAAAAAGGACTGGATGATTTCGTATCCCATTCTCGAGACTCTAAGGAAAGTACTGCATACTTGCATCTGCACCTGGCCGAGCAAGGAAGGGATGATCTTGTACACGAGCAACACGAGGAGCTCACAATGGAAGCGGAGGCCCCGACAACAATCCCATTTTGATGATTCCCGCCTCTTGCTAACGAGGCGTGGAACTATCCTGTCTGTTTATTTCTTGGCTTATGGAGAATTGCAACAAAGCTCCGGGAGCAGAATTCATTTTCAACCCATCTGCAGGGAAAACACATTCGGGTAGCATTTGAGGCCGGGCGGGTCGATGGCTACTTAGCAAGACATCAAAGGACGGTGAAAGAGCAGGTCAATGAAGAGACCCCAATACTCAACCCGTACTGGCAGAAGAGTTTCAAATGCTAGATGCAAATGCACGCAAACTAGACTCGGGGAAAGAATAAACGGTTCCACAGCAAACCGCAGGAGCAATAATAACAGAAGAGAAGCACAGGAAGGGCAACCTGACAACAAACATCAATGGGCAAATTCCCCTTGCTTTTGATGAGTTCCGATTCTTCCGTAACGACCAGGGAGCGGAGGAGATCAGAGGAACGCCTGTTCCGACGATCAAGTTCCTCCGGCGCTCGGCCCCTCAATCTTTCGGTTCCGGTTTCTTGAAGGTGGCCGTGTACTCCTGTTCCCAGTCTCGGTCTCACACCAGGGCAGGGAATAACAGTGTCTCCGCGGCTCCGACACCCTTGGTTCGAACGTCTCACAAGTTCTTATCACCCATTTCCAAGCGAATTGGTCGCCATCCCCTCCATGGCTGTCCACTGTGACAACCTTGGCCGAGCAAGCGGAGGTGCCATAACGGCGCCCTAACGGCGCCCTCTTGGATCCCAGGTCGCGGAATTCCATGGCCTCACTTAAACCATACCTCCCCAATCTATTTTATACTATCCCACCCTTCGCTACAAATGCAGGTCCAGACGAGAGATGGAATCGCGAGGATTTATTTAATCAGCCTACGCTCTCCCTCAAGAAAGAGAAAAAAAAAAAAAGTACTACCAAGAAACAAACCGTCCTTGGGGCGAGGATGGCCAGAAACCAAAAGCTTTTAATTAATTGCCCTTCAAAAAGGAAGGAGGGGCGTGGCGAACACGATGCTCGTATACTGGAAAAGAGTCGTGCGAGGCCTACCCAAAATCATGTCGCCAGGCATGGAGTTGTCTGCGTGCTGTAAAGGCGAGGCGTGTGCAGCGCGGATGTTTATATTGCAATCGCGGGAGCCGATTGCGCATCCTACAATCACGCCCCCTCCCGATCATCGCCTTGATTCATCGACGCCATGGGGCGTCGAGGAGGCCAAGAATGACAAGATGTTCAAGGCAGTGTAGAGACCAAAGGAAAAAAAAAAAAAAAAAAAAAAAAA